GAAGACCGGAAACTTCAAGGTACTTGGTCACAACCCCAGAGCCAGGAGAAAGAGACGTTTTCGTAAACGGTTGAGATTCCAGTCCAAGTTCTACGGCCTAAAAGTTGTAACGTCAGAAACAATCGAATGAAGTGAGAAAATCAAAGTTTACTATCACAAGAAGGATTATTCAAAACGTTCCACGAAAAACTTGCCTTCTTGGCTACAAGTCCGGCGGCAAGCATCACGCTTGGATTACTTGTATTTGTACAAGATGTTATTGCAGCGATAACAACGGAACCATGAGTAAGGGCTGCAGATCTGCCTTTATTGGTTATCATGACCGTCTTGCTGACATCCTCCGGCTTCAATCCAAACCCCTAATATGAAATGGATGATAGTGGAGAATGGGCTTCGAAAATTATCGTGTAGAAATTATTGCTTTAAAGGTCTAATATAATAAGTATCAGGTTGGAAGACAAGCTCTACAACGCTTTTCCCATCTGATTTACTTTTAGATTCTTTGTTCGTTTTAGCTCGATCAATTGCATATCTAACATCGATGTCATCTTCGCTACAACGCTCAAATTTCTCATTGCCGCTTTATCGGAACGTAGGCGGCCTGCCAGCTAAATAGCCGGCGACCAGCGTCTTCGTATATTGTATTTATACGAAGGATGTCAGCAAGACAGTCATGATAACCAATAAAGGCAGATCTGCAGCCCTTACTCATGGTTCTGTTGTGATTGCTGCAATAACATCTTGCACAAATACAAGTAACCCAAGCGTGATGCTTGCCGCCGGACTTGTAGCCAAGAAGGCAAGTTTTTCGTGGAACGTTTGGAATAATCCTTCTTGTGATAGTAAATTTTGATTTTCTCACTTCATTCGATTGTTTCTGACGTTACAACTTTTAGGCCGTAGAACTTGGACTGGAATCTCAACCGTTTACGAAAACTTCTCTTTCTCCTGGGTCTGGGGTTGTGACCAAGTACCTTGAAGTTTCTGGTCTTCTTCCCTTCCTTCAGCAGCTTGGTTTCCACATTGCCGGATTATGGTTGTATGACATGCATCGGAAATTCTGGCCCGCTTGACGAAGAGGTTGCTAAAGCCATTGAAGAGGTTTGATTTTGTTGTTTTCCATGATCTCCATATATCTATTACATTTTTAAATTGTACTTCAAAACTGTTAACTTTACTGAGAAACTACACGGGATACGAACGGCTGCTCATTGCATTTTGGTCGAGTGGAAAATCTGTTTGATTGCCTTAATTTTGACGTTATTTTTTGAATTAGTGACATTTTCAGAATAACCTCGTCGTCGCTGGAGTACTCTCCGGCAACCGAAACTTCGAGGGTCGTATTCATCCACATGTTCGAGCCAATTACCTCGCAAGTCCTCCTCTTGCAGTTGTCTACTCCATACTTGGAAATGTGAATAAGGATATCAATGGAGTGATCGGTTAGATATTGCTCGGTTTTGAGGTGGTTTAGGGAGGAAATATTAGCAGAAAACGGTGTGTTTCGCTTCAGCAACTACACCTGACGGGAAAGACGTGTATTGAAGGACATTTGGCCAACACGTGAAGAAGTTGCTAAATTTGAAGAAGAGTTTGTGAAGCCGCAGTTCTTCAAAGAGGTGCTCTAATTAGTTGAGTTTTGTAGTAAAATTTCAGTGATATTTTTGTTGTCAGGTGTATGCCAACATCGAAAAGGGATCGGAACAATGGCAGAAACTAGTGACGCCGTCAACCAAACTGTACCCATGGGACAAGGAGAGCACCTACATCAAAAAAGCACCATTTTTTGATGACATGGTAATTTTTAATATCAAAGAGATCCATTGGAGCCCACTTTTTGTTTTATTCAAGCATCCATTCCCGAAAAATGCTCGAAGGCGATGATCGAAATACTCATGGTCAGATCTGCTCATATTTCTAACCGAAACTGTATCCGGCAGAAATCCTGTTTGCTCCGAGTCAGCTCATTTAGCAAATAATTCCAAGGTTATTGGAGGGTAGGTATTCTAGGGTACCCGACAGGGGCCCGTCGGGCGGCAAGAAGGCAGAGTCAGCGGACGAGTCGCAGCGCGTACTGTAGTGATTTCGCGTCAAGTTAAATAGAATGTACCATTGCACGTCCTACATCGCACATCACGCGCTGCGACTCGTCCGCTGACTCTGCCTTCTTGCCGCGACGAGCTCTTGTCAGGTATCCGGTCTGACCATGCTCAATCTTGCGGAAGATGTGGAGTGCATTTGGGTCGAGGTTTAGTGAATCTCTCTTCAAGATTCGAACCGTGTTGATCTCGCGTCCTCAACAATTTGGGGCCATACGTCGATGGAGGAGAGTCACCTTCTGACAATTCTAGACAATTTTTGGCAGCTTATCTATAGTCAACCGCTCCATTTGCTGATTGCACACTTCACGTCTAATGCAAAGGCGCCATTGGTTTTAGTGAATTTTGGTAAGAAGGTCAAAAACGTGGGCACCTAAAAGATAAATAAGTAAAGCTATGGTCCGTCTCCCGCTTGATGCGTTCTGTTGCGTCGCTCTTTCACCATCAACCCGATAGACTCCCCACAAAAGCTGGTGCCAGATGATATTTAGTTCCTCTACGTCAAGAACGAGTAGATCTGCTTTCCACAAGGGGTGGATCCGCATGTGAAATCATGAGCCGAACTTTATCTAGAAGGTGTCAGCTAACTCGGAGCGATTTCTATACTGTGGTGAACTCCGAAGAACTCAAGACAGGCATTTACGCACCTACCTACAACATCGGCGTCCAACTTTCGGTCATGCGATAGGAAGAAAGCAAGTGATCGGGAATAGCTTTCATCTACATATTCAAGATCAACCGACATTCGTCCTAGCGTCACTGAGTTCAAGTTGCAGGAGCTTGTCGATACCCTTTCTGTCCACCTTTTTTCTACATGGTCGCTCGTAGAGCATGTAGATGCAGCTCAGACTGCTCCATACCTGGAAAAATCCACTGGTTTTGATGAATTCGACTGAATTCATCTTCGATGGAAAATTTCGATCCGCATCTGCCTTCGTTTTCGAACGGATTCGCTGATTCTGCCGTTCAACGAATGGCTTTGAGTCAAAGTTTGCCTAAAGTTGTAAAGAACTTACAACAGGTGAAGTGGGTTTTTCGCAATGCCCTACTGCGATATATGCGAGAAAAGGAAGCTTTTTATAAACTATCGTAATTCCTTTCTCAGTAGAAAGTTGCATATTTGTTGAAATGTAAAAATGTAAAAAGAAATGTAAAATATCCACCCTCTGATTGCGTGGTTCGGTACACGGTAGGGCAAAACCGAATGATCGAGCAGGCAGCATAAGTGGCTATTTTTATGCTAGAACATCATAATTTTTTAAGGGTTGTTCGCTATAACTAATAATTTCAGACCATTGATCTTCCGCACCAATCGTCCATATCTGACGCTTTTGTGTTGTTGAACTTGGGTGATTCGGTCACCACAGATCACATCTCGCCGGCTGGTTCCATTTCCAAGGTCTGAGCTTACAATTAGGCAAATAGCAACGTGTGTTTCAGAATTCTGTTTTTATTAGCTTTCGCCTGCTGCTCGATATTTGGCCTCGAGAGGACTCTCTCCCAAGGATTTCAATACGTACGGTGCACGCCGAGGAAATGACGTGGTTCGCTAAGTTTCCATAGTAGTCCTTATATGTTCATGAAGCTGTATGCAATATCTGCGAACTAAACCAAAGATTCATTTCAGGTTATGGCCTGTGGAACGTTCGCCAATATTCGTCTTGTGAACAAGCTCGCCTCAAATGTAGGGCCGAAGACCCTTCATATACCTTCTGGACAAGAGCTGGACGTTTACGATGCCGCCATGAAATATGCCGAAGAGGGTCACCCGGTGAGTAAGTTATGTGCACAATGTTGCAACATAGCTTGTAACTGAAGACTTCTTCTCATGCCAGGTTATCATACTTGCTGGTAAGGAATACGGTTGCGGATCATCCCGAGACTGGGCGGCCAAGGGACCTTATCTGCAGGGAGTAAAAGCTGTGAGTACCTTAGAAAACACCATGTATCCATTTTGTTGCACTGATTTCGTCTTTCCAGGTTATCGCTGAGTCATTCGAGCGAATTCATCGATCCAATTTGATTGGTATGGGAATAATACCTCTTCAATTTAAAAATGGTGAAAACGCGGAGAAGCTAGGACTCTCCGGAAAAGAACAATTCAGGTGAGACTTAATGTTCTTTCAAGTTTGATTTCTAGTTTTTCTATTAAAAGAATTCTTATTCAAAACGTTTTAGCATTCATGTGCCTGACGACCTCAAAGTTGGTCAACATTTGCAGGTGACTGTGTCTACCGGGCAAACCTTCGAGGTAACATTTAACTCGCAATTTATTTACACGCAAACGGCAATGCTCCCATCGTGAAGCGCGTTATGCGTTTTCACGTCGCAATCATGTACACTATTTCCATAGATGCATGACTGCTTCTTGGTCTGTGATAACAAAACCTGGGCTCAACACAAATAAAAAGGATTTCAAACCGCTCGACGGTGAGGTAGGACCCGGTGATTGAGCCGTCGCAACAGCGATCGCCATCAAAATCGCAGCGATTGCACAATCGCCAAGTCCGCTATTTATCTAGGCACACGGTCACAAGGTTAACGAACTGATATCGGTGTTTTTAAAGGTCTGCCCAACGTCAAATAGACCTTTCTTTGATAAACCATGTGTGCTAGCTGCAACAGAGCCTTGCTCACATGATGCGGCTGCTGAAAAACGCTACGGAAACCTTAGTTAGAGCCACTTTATAGTGATCTCGCTTTACTCTTCTCTCCAATCTTGTCTAAAAATAAGCAAGAAAGTAATTTCAGCACTAAGTTAGGCAACAGTAATCCCGTTGGTCTGTCAAATGAAATGCCCATAGTGCGCTTACAGGACACTGACTTTGACGTCTAAGACTAGGAGTAAAATTAGCTTATTTCTCAGTGCGCTCTCAGTTGCCTAGGAAAGCCACCTATGAACGACCATTCACGGCACCTACCTCCTCACACTTGTACAATTGCAGCTCTCTCTTTGGTGGCATTGTTTAAGAGAAAGAATTGCTAACGAACATACAGACTAGCCTAGATGTGGTGTAAATAGGCAGGTCATCCATATTGTCCCCTCTTTTGGCTGAATTTTTAGGGTTAGGGTTTTTCACCTATTAGGGTTTTTCACCTATGGAAGTCACCTTTCCCGTAGAATCGTACGTAGTATCACCACGTACGATTCTACGGGAAAGGTGACAACGACTGCAACGTAGTATCACTTCAGTATCACCGTATTTCGAAAATAATTCTCATTTAAACGAAGGTGTCGTGACAATTAGTGTCGCTAGTATGATCATCAAACCCTGGTTCATGTTCCAAGTGGGCTAAGCAAATCTTCGGGATTACTTGGTTCCTGACTACGATATTTACTGTACGGAAATTATTGGTACTAGAAGGGCTTAATAGTTAGGTTGCTTAGTTTTTAGAATCTTACACGATTTAGACTATACATCCTTTTGTGTGATTTGATACATATTTTGAAATTTTCCTCAAAGAAACTATTCACAGGTCGTGTGCCGTTTCGACACTGAGGTCGAGCTCACCTACTATCGCCATGGTGGAGTTCTGCAGTATATGATCAGAAAGCTTATACAGTGTTAGAAAGGCTTGAGTCAACTGTGGTCAGACTCGCTCTCGAAAAGCCTTGTCGGGAAAAATTCCATGTTACTTTTTAGAATTGTTATGTTTTTACTCTACGTTCTCATTCGTTGCGTTGTGCATTTGAATCCATATTCCTCGATTACCTGGTGATATGCGTAGATTTTCTGTGATACATTTTCAAGAGTGACGCTAGCTAAGTGATATGCAACCCCAATTTCGAATAAAGCTCGATACTTCTTTCTTGTAAACTTTTTTCAAGCAACGACCATGATTCCTTCGCGGCGGCTTCGCGCTGACGGCTTTAATGAAGATATCATTTGCGGTAGAGTTTTAGAAGAGAAGACGGTGCGTGATCAAATTAATGTTTTCAACCTCCAAAAATCAACTGCTAAAAGAAGAAGCAGAGCATTTTTTGCTCTGTTCTTCTCTTGATCTTTCAGTGTTTATTTACTCGCATCATTCTACAAGGGTGGCCAATTAAAAGGAGACCACATTTCAGTCAATTAATCACACTTTGCTAAACTCAAACCGACTGCTCCCAACTTAGTATTAAAGAGCACATCCCAATCTATCAATAAACATTATAATAGCTTTCTGCACCAAGGATATCACAAGAATTTGCCATGGGAACCTTGTGCACGGTTCGAGCTCAACTGGTCCTCGGCGGATCATGGACCTTTACGACGTTATCTGAAACGCTGGTCGGAAGGGGTCTTGCATATTTAGAGCTACTGTCCCTAGAAGCAATCACCAGTTAACCGATTAAAGAAATTTCGTAGCAGCTTCAGGCTGGAACGATTACGGTAGGCCTTCTTGAGCTCGGTGATGGAAGATGACGTCATATTTTGAGGTGAGGGCAGTGAAGAGGGCCTGCTTCTACTTATGGGAGGACATCTAAGGGATATTTTGCCGTAAAACTTTCATCAACAGCGGCACTCCTGTGCGATGAAAAGTTTGATGATGTGCGCCATGAATAAAGTGTCTTTTTTTTGGCCACCCCTGTATAGAAGGTGTCCTAAAGCCGGAACTTTCACTTCTGTGGTGTCAACTTGATCCTTTGATTGGGCATCTGCAACTTACTATATTTCATTTCTTTTACCAATAGAAAATTCCGAGACGTCATTACCAGTCGCCTACGTGATTTTTAAGTTTTCCTTCTTGAAATGAGCAGACTTGTTTCATGCAGAAGTGAGGTTCAAAAACAGTAAGCTTCGTCTGACCGCGTTTGCAGTTCCCATGAGACTTGAGAGTAGATCTGCACAAATCGTTAGTGTGTGAAGGGCTGATTAATAAATAGGGACATTGAAACTCCCGCGTGAACTCAAAGTAAACTCCAATTCAAGTCGGCGTAGCAGCTACAGTACTCGCCGTTTGAAATCGAAAATTCACGCGAATAACGCGAATCCTCGTTAATTTCGTGAATTCGTTATAACTCGGGTCAGAGTGAAGTATTCCAGAAACGGAAAACACCGTTGAACTCAGCTCTTCAAGCGCTACAAGATGGTGCTAAAATATTTTCAGAAAGCTTGATTTCGGAATGCGCCATGCACTCGATTTCATCTCAAAAAGTAGTTGCTCGCATGTGATGTGTATATAATCCCGCTTATGCGGGCTAACCGCTACACACAAAGAAGGGCCTCAAAACTTACCCCAGAATGCGCCACGTACTCAATCTCATCCACTACATTGCGAGATTGGGTGACTGTTATTTTCCGAATTCTTAGGTCCTTATTTCGTTTTCAAGCGCTTACTAGCTTGGGGTGTTCCCTCTGCTCTCAATATCCCATCCTCTGTATATCAAGTGGATCTTTGAACAGTTCTCA